TAGCATAACAAGCCCACAGCCTCATTCTCGCCCTGGGAAGTTATCTTTTTTTAAACTCCATTTGTCTTTTTAAAAAATATATTTCTATTGATTTCAAAGAGGAAGGAAGAAACATCAATGATGAGAGAGCATCATGGATTGGCTGCCTCCTGCATGCTCCCTATTGGGGATCGAGCCCACAACCCGGGCATGTGCCCTTGACGGGAGTCAAACCCGGGACCCTTCAGTCCGCAGGCCGACGCTCTACCCACTGGGCCACACTGGCTGGGGCCATCTCCATTTGTCTTTCTGGGCTAATTGAGCTGTGCTCTTAAGTCGCCTGCACCTGAAACCACTGGTGTCTCCGCAGCTCTGGCCCGGACCCAGGAGTCTGCATTGTAACCAGCTTCAAGGGGGTCCTTCTCCCCATTGGCACGTGTGGGGGGAGGGGGACGTGCAGAGCGGCCTCGCTCGCATCTGAGTGTCCATCTGTGAGGTCGCCAAGGCGCCTCTTTCCTGAGCTGCCTTTTCAACCTTTCCAGGAAAAGCAATTCCAGTTCAAATCGCTTTGGCTTGGTCTCTGTCCAGAAGGGACTTTTTTTTTTTTTTTCCAGTAAGAGGTTTAATATAGTTGTGTGTGTTTTTAATCTGCTTTAAAAATACTGTCTGAGAGATGTAGGAACTTGATGGAGATAGATTCGTGGTTTTAAGCATTTAGGAATTATTTTCGGTTGTTTCAATGATGAGATCAAATTACTTGAAAAATGTGCCGTGTGTGTGTGTGTGTGTGTGTGTGTGTGTGTGTGTTCGTTCACATATCGCTGATGGGAAAAAGGATCGGACCCTTATAGGAACTTGGTCACAATTATTATCACCCTTAATTACAGGTCAGCAGAGGTAACAGGATCATAAACCAAGTAAGAGGAAAACAATCAAAGAAACTGTGTCGTTTTCAAGACTAAATTAGAATAATTAGGGACTAAGTGCCCGGAGCCACAACCTGGTCCCGCCCTCATCGAGGCCATGATGGTGGCCAGGAAACTATGGTGTCCCTTCCCTCTGGGATCCACCCTAGAGTTCAGCCAGAGTGGGTCCTGCTGGGGCCAGATCTCCGATGGCTCCGCGGTCTGAAGGCGGTTTCCTCATTCCTGGCCAGGACGCACGCCGGTTTCCAATTAGGACAAGGATGCCGGGATCCACTCCCCACCTCCTGCTGCCTTCAAGCCTCAGCACACGCCCGCTCCTTGGGGTCCCCCTCCGACCACACTCCCGCCCCACGTTTATCCGGTTCCCCACGAGGCATGTCCTGGGGCTGGACGGTCATTGTTCCGTGTCTGTGTCCTCAGAAAACTGTGAACTTGACGGTTTTAACTTCCTGCCTGTGGCTCCTCCGTAGCCTCTCAAACTGTTGAATGGACCTCAGTCCACCATCCACTTGCCCATCTCCGTCGGTCCATAGGGGTTGTCTTAACTCCTTTCTCACTGTTACCTTCTTTCTAGACCAGCAAAGACCCCACAGGCAGCGTCCCCTCATCCTTCCTGCCGAAGCTCCACCCAGTTCTCCCAGCCGCAGGCCGGCCCAACCGGACTTCGCTCAGACTTCCAGGCCTAGGGGCTCACGGTCCTCCCCAGAAAACGAGATCTCTGTAGCCCTTAATTTCTGAAAGACTCCGAGAAAGTAGGAAAAGGATCAAAATGAGGCGAAATAAAAGAGCTCACCCCGTGCCCGAGTCGGGGACCTGGGAGGCAGCAGGAAGGCGGGCCGCCCCAACGGAGGCTGTCACAGGTTCGCCCCGGAGGAAGAGCTGCCCTCCCCACCCCCAGCGGGGGAAGGTCCCGGCGAAGTGGGAGGTGGGCTGGGCGCTGAGGATGGACACGTGTGGCCCTCGGATGAGTAAGCAGCCTCGCCGTGTTCCTCACGCGGGGACAGGGCCCGTCCAGCCGCCAGCTCATCCTGTGGCAGGAACACTGCGCACATTTGTGCGAGAACAAGAAAAGCCGTAGCATCTCCGGTGTTCAGACAGAGTCTGTATGCAGGTACAGAACATGCCTCAGCAAAAGCATGTGCAGGGGGAGGGTGGCCACAGCTGCTGCCGGTGAGCCGTGTGGGGAGAGGGCGACCCGACCCAGCGCGGCTCTGATTGGTATGAGCCGCACGCCCCTCTCAGAAACAAAAGCGATACTTGGACGCCGAGCAAACGGTGCTTCTAATCAAAGATTTTATTAAATCAGGGCCTCATGAAACGTCAGGAATATTCAGGCCCTGGGTCCTGGCCAATAAAACCGAGAGAGGAATCGCTCAGGGCTCATTCTCAGGACGCTGTTAAAAGGGATGAGAAAGTCCTCAATGGCCTGTTGATTCGATGCTGCCCCGTGCAGGGAGAAGCCTGTACCAGGGAAAGGCGGCGGGCAAGTTGCTATGGAAACTTCAAACCTGAGCGCTTCTGCGTTCGGCCAACGCGCCTTTTCAACACGGCATCATAACAATTGTAATTTCAAGAATTAAATGCTTTCCCATCAGGTTCCGGGTACCAGTGTTCAGCTTTTTACGATTTTACGCTCCAGCTGAGAACCAGCACGAGGTTGTTAATTTATAGGCACGTCTCTCAGACTCGCTGCCTTGCAACCTGCTCTAGTTTCAAAACAGTGAAACCTTTTAACCCAACTTTTCTAGGTCCGGCAACGTGTGCTCCCACCCAAAGCTTTGAAACGCTGAGTATCCGCTTGCTTGAGGTGTTTCTGTATTTTATTTCTGCTAATCCTCACCCGAGGATTTTTTCCCCTCCACTGATTTTTAGAGAGGAAGGGGGAAGGGACACATCCACTGGTTGCCTCCTGTGTGCGTGCCAACTGGGGTGGGATTGAACCTACAACCCAGGTACGTGCCCTTGAGGTACGAGGGAATTGAACCCTCGACCCTTCAGGGCAGAGGCTGACCTCTAACCACTGAGCCACCGGCCAGGGCTCTGGTATTTTACTTGGATGGATATTCTTTCACACCAGCCTGGCCCTATTTTAACAGGTGCTGTGTGGGGCCAGGTGGGCGCTTGTGTTGTGGGAGGGATCGCTTTGTAACCTCTATGAATGTGTACCCACTACACACCTCTCTGAAACCAATACAAACAAGTGTTGAAGGCAAACTACAGTTGAAAAATAAAATAATAAGAGGCCAAAAAAAGACATATATTTGATAGACAGTTACTCCTCAGTCTACCGCTGAATGTCAGTGCAAACATCACAGTGGGGCTCATTTCTGCAGTCGCCATGTCGTCCTGTTTGCGGTCCAACTTTTTAAAACACGTTGGGCAACTTGCTTCAGACCAGAGGAGAGAGGGCAAGCCGTGATCCCGTAGCTCACCGCTATCGGGGCGGCATGCAGGTTAAAGGTCAGTGAGCTTATGTCTGTCCAGTTACAACCAGCTCCGAAGCACTGCGTTTTGCATGAAAGGTCGGCTTGCAATCTAAGTGTCTACCTGCACTCACCAAAGTTTAGAATTCTCTACAAAAGCTGTTTTTCTCCTCCTCAATATGATTATCATACTTCGATCCATAGAGAAGGAACTGGGTAGGAATATATTACCATTTCAATTCAGCTCAAAATAACTTAATACAATTATTCTCCACTTTCCGGGGGATGGGTGCCACAGCCCGATGCAACCTGTGTGTAAATGAAGGACTGTTATCTTGTGCTGCGAGGTGCATCTTGCTGGAGCTGGAAATCCCCCTCACTTGTTCCCAGAGAGACAGCAGCGACCCAGTTCTTGCTTTGCCGGGTGTTGCAAAACCACAAGGTCCCCGCAGCGTCCTGACCTCGGCCTCCGAGGGCGAGGAGGAAAAGAGCACATTGTCATATGGCGCCAAACACCAGGGTATGGTCCGGCTCCTGGGCCAGCCATTGACTTGAAAAGAAACTTTTAACCTATCAGTGGTTTAGCCCACAGGCCGTACACGGCCGGTGGAATCCTTTGGCCTGGCCCTGCCAAGGCATCAGGGGCGAGTGCATTAAATGGCTGGCCAGTGTGGCGGGCTGACTTGTAAGCTGATGCTTCTGTATGGCCCACACACGAGGTGATAAGTATCCCATGGCCCTTGGCATGGAAAAGGCTCCCACTCCCGGTCAGCACATCACCGAGGAAAGCACGCGAGAGCAATTTTGAAAATGGGTTCGTGGTGCTTACCTTCGGGGAATCCACGTTCCTGCTGCGGCCGGGACCGCGGCTGGCAGTGCACAGGCACCCCTCCCAGGGCTCTGCCCAGAGGGAAACCACGTGAGCTCAATGACCCGTAGGCGAGAAATGTGTTGCTATGACTAGCTCATTGGTTTGTTTGTTGCTTTTTTGGGGGGTGGAGGCGGGAGAGGAACTAAATCTGTCAAAAAAAGACTGTCTGCCCTTCTAGACATGTTTGCCAGGTTTGTGACTTCACAAGAAACCTGTGTAGGAACCGTCATGACCTCGGCCCCGCTGTCCTCGGCCCCGCTGTGCTCTGACATTCAGCGGTAGACTGAGGAGTAACTGTCTATCAAATATATGACCTCGGGGCCGTCATGACCTCGGCCCCGCTGTGCTCTGGACTCAAGAAGGGAAGCTGCTGTCCTGCCCACAACCCTTCCCACGTGTTCTCAAGTTTTTTAAGAGGCAAACTGAAGGGAAGAACCTCAGAGATACCACAACCCAAAGGGATCCAATCTAGTTGGGGACATAAAGTAGCTCCAACGTTCCCCCTGAAGCTGACTTCTCCCCGGTGTGGCGTTCGGTCACAAATGACCACGCAGAACCCCGATCGGCGCTTTCTGAACAGAACGGAGCATTACACAGAGAGAAAAACATGAAGACACCGGCGTTATCTGACGACTGTGACGTTCAAAGATTCCTCAGGGCTCATCGTCATGGATTCCAGGAAATGGAGAACTTGAGAAACTCGACTGAAGGCACCAACCAGACTGGATCAAGTACAAAATTATCAAGAGACTTCAGGACATTCGTAACTCAAAATCCCAATGATAAAAGCCAGAGGACATGTGAATGGCATAAAACTTTTATTATTTATTAGCAGTGTAGCCTTCTACACTTTAAAATAGAACAGAATATCTTTTGGAAGGTAAACTAGTCATAACAAAATACATGTCAAACAATTTTTATTGCAGTAGAATTACTTTGCTATATACTTTCTATGTTATATACATACTCTTCTTGGTTTGTCTATGTATGCACATGTGTATTAATAATTTTTAAGACGTACACATGTAGATACATATGACGAGCATACACACATACGTATGAGAAATTTACAGCAGTCAATTTTACAATCATTTTCATAGCTGCACACAAACTAGTGTTCACAGAACTAAAATGTCAATGTGGTTCCCTTTCCCACTTCTCCGATGTCACCTGGATTGTGTCCCACTGATCAGGTTTTTTAAAAAAATACTATCAACAGCCTGTACAATTCACCAGTCTCTCTTTTTTTTTATACAATAACTCATAATAAAATATTTCACTATTTCAGGTTTAGAAAAAGTATACAATTTAATTCCATAATTTGTGATCCCTAAAAACATATCATCCTCTTTATTTTAAATCAACTTAGTGCAATTATTTGGTACTGTCGTTCTTGAAGGTTAAGCTAACCCACCTGAGTCAAACATTCATTCAAATGCCTGTTTAAAAGTGTAAAACGTAAAACATAAAACAAACAAGATGTTTTGCTGAAGCGCGTGTGACAGTCTGGAGGTACCCGTCCTAATAAATACACCATAAATAACTCAATGGGTGCGCAACGGGGAATCGGGATGCAGGCCCCGACTCCCCAGGAAATGAGCCCACAGACCTCGGAGCGAGGCCCCTGCGGGGTCCTCCCAGGCCAGCTGCGAGCCCAGGGCCCCTGGGGTTGGGGGGGGGGGGGGCGGTCCTCCCAGGCCAGCTGCGAGCCCAGGGCCCCTGGGGTTGGGGGGGGGGGCGGTCCTCCCAGGCCAGCTGCGAGCCCAGGGCCCCTTCTCTCTGAAACGCAGAGAACCACCCAGCAGCATCCTTTCCCACTGTTTCTCTTCCTGGATTGGACACTGGTGCCTGGCCATGTGCGATCACGGGCCAGCGCTGCCTCGTACCCAGAGCGGCCATCCTCCTGGCTTGGGAGCCCTGAGTCCTCTCGGGGGAGAGCCCTCCTGGGAGCCACACCCGGCGAGTGCGGGCTGCGAGGTGCTCAGTGTGGAGAAAGCCCCGAGGGTGCAACACTAAGCGGCTCAGCAACAAAAACAAAGGGGAAAACGCGTCCGGAGCCAGGCCGGAGGCTGAGGCTCTCCGGGAGAGGAACCTGGGCAGATCCTGACCTTGGGCCGACTTCCCCGAAAGGAGGGCCTGCCGGCCACGTTCCTGGGGGAACAGTCCCTCTCCGAACGGGCCTCCCTCGGGCCTTCCCCGCCAGGGGGTGGCGGCTCATCGCACTGAACAGCGTGCTGCACAAATTCAAAATACAAATGAGTTCTTTTTTGGTAGCAAAGAGCAAGAAAACCTAAGTCAAAATATAGTCTAGCTTTTCCATCATTGTAAATATTTATAAATTTATCAAAATAGGCTTTTTACGTTCACAATACATACATCATGTATACTGTACAGGTACATGTAATAAGAAAGGATTCCCGCGGTACATGAAAAGTAACCCTTCGGAATCACCGAGCCCGCGTTAAAACGGTCCTCAGAAGTGTGTGTCACAGCCTCAGTGCCTGTGCGTGGTCTGGGCCAGCGGCGGGTCCCCTGAGGTCGCTTTAACGAGAGGGAGGACGGCGGAGGTATCCGTGTGCCGCAGCCGGTCCTGGCGCTGGTCCCGGTGCAGCGGTGGCGCTAAGAGCAGCGGTCCCCGACGGCAAGGCCTTAGTAATGAACATACTCAGACTGAAGGGACTGCGCGGGGAGAGACACAGAGGGAGGTTAATGCGGCGCACAGAGCCCTCAGCTCATCACACACTCCTTCCTTCCTTCCTTCCTTCCCTCCTTCCCTCCCTCCCTCCCACTGGGGTCTGCTCTACAGAAAGTCAGCGAAAGCCAGGAGGGGACAGATGAGAGACGCAAAGCACTGGCTAAGGAGGGGACGTGCAGTTCCCAGAGTGACGGCATGAAAGGTTTACATGCTTAAAGGCTTGCCTAAGGGCCCCAGCTCAGTGTCCCGAACACCAAAAGGTTGCGGGTTCGATTCCCGGTCAGGGCACGCGCCTAGATTGCAGGTTGGATCTCTGGTTGGGTGCGAATGGGAGGCAACTGATATCTCTCTCTCTCTCTCTCTCTCTCTCTCTCTCTCTCTCTCTCTCTCAGAAAATCAATAAACATATCCTCGGTAAGGATTAAAAAGCCCACTAATTGCCCTGGCCAGTTTGGCTCAGTGGATAGAGCATCAGCCTGTGAACTGAAAGGTCCTGCGTTCGATTCCGGTCAAGGACACATACGTGTGTTGTGGGCTCGATCCTCTGTAGGGGGCATGCAGGAGGCAACCAATCCATGATTCTCTCTCATCATTGATGTTTCTATCTCTCCCTCTCCCTTCCTCTCTAAAATCAATAAAAATATATTTTTTAAAAACTCACTAATTTATTAGTAGTGATGACAAATTAAATATTATTTGAAAATTGGTAGGTAGGGCTCAACTCGCTTCAATGCTCTTGTGCAATAATATTGAATTTTACTCAAAAATATTAAATGACACCTGTAACTAAATTGGGGATTATTAGAATAGACTTTAGGAATATATATAATTTTGAATGCAATGCAATACATAGTGATTGGACGTTAATGCTTCTAATGCAGGAGAATGGGCAGTCACTTAAATAAATTCCTTGAGAATGGGTGAATTTAATACAAATACCTCGCAAATCCTTTCCTTTTAGGGGGGACACAAAGCACGGCAAGCTTTGAACTCGGACCTTAAGTCCCCAAAGCATTTGTGCGGAAGAGTCAGGCAGTCACAGGAAACAGTGGGAAGTTTCTAAAAATGTAAACAAGGCAAGTTCCTCCCTTATCATGTCAGATACTAACATATACAAGGAGCGTGTGGGGGTTTGTAACCAGAAAGCACTGATCGGGTCATGTGACCAGAAAGCACTGATCGGGTCATGTGACCAGAAAGCACTGATGGGGCATGTGACCAAAAAGCACTGATCGGGTCATGTGACCAGAAAGCACTGATGGGGCATGTGACCAGAAAGCACTGATCAGGTCATGTGACCAGAAAGCACTGATGGGGCATGTGACCAGAAAGCACTGATCGGGTCATGTGACCAGAAAGCACTGATGGGGCATGTGACCAGAAAGCACTGATCGGGTCATGTGACCAGAAAGCACTGATGGGGCATGTGACCAGAAAGCACTGATCAGGTCATGTGACCAGAAAGCACTGATCGGGAAAGTTAGCCAGGAAAAGACAGAGGGAGGAAAACAACGGCCTCACAGTCACTTCTGAGCAGAAACAGCAGTCAGAAAGAAGAAACACAAATCAGTTTAAACATCAACCAAATTCCCTGCCCGATTCTCCTGCTTAACCGCCATAGAACAAGGTTTGCTTGATTTGCTCACGTGCCCTTTCCTCCTCCCCCAAGAATTCTTTTCCCAGTCGGTCTGCGGCATTTGATGACGAGGTCTTATCAGTTCTGAGGCCGGTCCATTTTGTTGACGGTACAGGGATCAGTAAAAAAGGAATCTGTCCATTTTGCAAATAATTTACTAAAAGATTCAAACTATCTTTGTTTACCTTTCAAGTCCCAGAATTTTACATCCTAGCCACAGCCACTCACTAAGGCAGTCTCTATCAACCCCGCGAGCCAACAAGTTACGGCCCTGCGCCCTCAAAGGGCCAGCACCACACCCTCATACCATGTAAAATGAGAGACCAAGGAGTCAGCATTTAATTATACAAACTGAGGGTGAGGGTAGCACTGGGCACAAGTGAAAGACTAGGTGAGGGGTGGGCAGGGACGGTTTGGTGGTCGGGGGCTGGGAGTCTCAAGGCTGCAAGTTTCAGGACGAGGGGAAAGGTTACGAGCGCCCCTAGGAAGAATGAAAAGGGCTTGGCATGTCTCCCTACGGGATGTGGTTTATGCCAAGGCTTCAAACCAGGAGGTGCCCGAGCATCAGGCACTGTAACACACACACCTGAACCCACGGTGAGAATGTGTATTGGCATGATTTCCAATAGGGCTGAATCCAAAATCGTTCTTGGGACTATTCTAAAAAGACATTTTCTTTATAAAAACACCCAGGATTAAGCATTCTGATTAAAGTTTTCATTATGCTTGGCCAACTGTTTTTATTATTGCCATAAGAAGTAATGCATCTTAAGTACTAAAAAAGGAGGGGAAAATAGCAATGAAAACGAAGGGAGGGAGACCCGAGGCATAAATATTATTTTACAAGTAATATTTATATAATCAAGCACTAATTTATATAATCAAGAGATTTCAATTACTCAAATAGAATATTCGATTTCTTGTGACTAATAAGTTCAAGCAGGTTATACTGAATTCAGACCAGATAACTTCATCATGAATATATGAAACGCATACCATAAAATTAATAACCCAGCCATAGTCAACCTGGAAAATAAGCATAAAGTTACCTTAAATGTGCAGTCCCCAAAATAAATTATGTCAAAATAAAAGAAGTCTTATTCCCTGAAAGCAGTTAGATCTGACATAAAACCAAGTGTTAGGTAAGGAGAGCGAGACAATTTGTTCTCCCTGCAACCTGCTCTGAGTCTGCTGGCAGGTGTAGGCAGTGCCTTTAAGAAGTTAGCTGTTCTGGGCGCTTCTTTGTTAAACAGCCTCGTTACCTAATCATGGTAGGAAAACATCTAATGATTATAGCTATAAATACGGGCAGATCTTTAATACATAAACCTATACGATGGCCAGCAAAAGCAGAAAACGGTAAGGAATCGTGAAAGATTACGGTCTTTGCCAGTAAATGAATGAAACTTATCTTCATGTTCAAACGCCTTGGGCCTAGGACCCAGGACCCAGATGCCAGTCTCCTACTGGGTCCAAATCCTGGCTCAAGGTCCCCCCTTTGCCACACTGCCCCCCCCCCCGCCCCGCCCCCGCCGCTTTCCCAAGTCCCTCCAGGAAAAAAAGCAGTTCATCGTTACCCTTGGTTTGAGGTCTAACTACAGAGGCAGAAAAGCACCTTAAAAAGTGTTTTGTTTTACTGGCACCGATCATTAAAGGGGATACAGCACACGCGTGGCAATACGTGTGTTATTTCATATTTAACTCCAGTGTTTCCGTTTTAATGAGCGAGTCGGGGGGTGAACTCGGGGGATAGGTCATCTGTAACTGCCTCTGCCATGCCGTCTCCTCCTGCCTCTTCCGCTCTGTGCTGCTTCTAAGTTAACCACGTACGGAACGTGTGGACTGTGCTCCCACGAACAGAGGGCACCCGCCTGTGCTACCCAGGACCCTCCTCCAGGGACACCAGCAGACACTTAGCTCAATGAGGGGTTTTTGGAAACAGTGACACCAAAAGCCTGTGATAAAATGGGCCTGCGGGAGGCTTCACATCTCTCCGTAGCGTTCTCTAGCCATTCCCGGGGTCCCAAGAGCCAGCCGACTTGGGTTAACGAAAATGCGACCTAAAATATCCTCACTGTAACTTTAATAGATTCTCTCCGCTCCCCCCGCCCCCCGCCCCGGGGTGTAATCTGCTTTTCGACAATCACAAGGAGCTCGATCCTTAGTGACCGGGTGCTGACACCTGACTTGCCTCGGCCATTCCCGAGGAAGCGATGGCCAGTGTTTTCAGTTCATCTGGACGCCGCGATTACACCTGCATTTTCACATGAGACCTCTTTTCTCTTATCCACTAAAGCCACGTGTGCAGGGAGCCGAGCCCCTCAGCTGGCTGCGTCTTAGAGCGGAGGCTGGAGCCCGGGTCAGCTTTTCCTGAGTGTTCGGGGGAGGATGGAGCGCTCCTAACCGCCTGCTCCCTTCGGAGGTTACGACCAGGAGCTAAGGGGAGGCACCAGGACACGACCTGGGCCCTGGGGGTCAGGTGGGGACAAGGTGGATGCGCCCCGCTCGGTGGGAAGTCTCTATAATAGAAGAGACGGAATACTCACGACAGCAGACTCAGTCATCTCACCTGATAAAACGCTTCCCCCACCCACGCCCGCCACACGCCCCCCAGTTCTCAGCGCTGGGAAACACCGCCCCTGATGGCAGAGAGGGAGCTGGTTTCTCACTGTAAGTGGGTCAATGAGCACCCCTCACCCCTCGCCCCTCGCCCGGGGCAGCAGGAACCTCAGACCAGCCGAGGAGGCCAGAGAAACAGAAACGGCCGGCTGGGCTGCCGCAGGCCCGGGGGAGCCTTTCCCATCGTCCCGGTTTAGACGGCCCAGGGCCTCGGGCCTCCATCTTTCCGGGGGGCTGAGCTGCTGCTCTTAGGAGAGACGCTAATTGCAGCTTCTTACCTACTAGACGCCCTCGCAAGGCCTCGCCCGCGCCCCAGGGCTTTCTGGGTCTTTCTCCCAGGTGCCGGGAGGGGACGGCCACACAGCCTCCTGTCCTCGAGGGTTTAGGAACATCACATCCTCGGGGCATCAGCAGAAGGGCCGGTTCTTTAGACAAGAAACCCACACCCTCAGGACAGCTGCACTGGCCCGGCAGGCGTGGCTCAGGGCCTGAGCGGCGACCTAGGAACCAGGTCAGGGTTTGACTCCAGTCAGGGCACAGGCCCGGGTTGCGGGCTCCATCCCCAGCATGGAGCGTGCAGGAGGCAGCTGATCCATGGTTCTCTCTCATCACGGATGTTTCTATCTCTCTCTCCCTCTCCCTTCCCCTCTGAAATCAATAAAAATATTTTTTTTTAAAAAAAAAAAAGTAAAGAAAAGCTGCAGTGGGCCCACAGGGAAAGCCCACAGCCCCCCGCTTAGCGCCTCATAAAGCAGGGATTTCCGAGGCGGGCGCAGCCCCCTCTCAGGGACGGGGTTTAAGGCAGAGGGAGGAGGCAGGGCAGTGACAGCAGACCCGCTGCCTCCCGGGGGCTGGGCGAGAAAACGTACCCTGCTGGCAGCTCTCCTTGAAAATGCGTTTTCTTTACAAGAAAATGACAAATTTAAGGGGGAGAGGAGGGAGCGAGCAGCCGCTGCCCACACAGACTATGACTTTAAATTTAATTATTGGAAAATTACCCTATTCGGGCCAGAAAGAGAGAGGAGGAGGAGGAGGAGAAGGAAAATAAGAAAATAGCGACTAAAGCCAAGATGCGGTTATATAAGTGGGAGGGCGAGGCATCGACGGGCACCTAAGGATTCCACAGGCCACGCGGAGACCCAGAAACATGCGCTGCTTCTGGCCCAACCACGGGGGCTCCGGTACCCGCCGCGACGTGGGCGGCACCAGCCTCAGCCGTGACCTGGGCAAGGTGCTCACGGACCGGCTCCACGTCCAACACCCGCTCCGCCAAGGGCAGGGCCTCCCCTCGGGTCTGACAACGGCCGGCCTCCATCAGGGGGTGCAAGCAGGCGGCCTCCACTCCTGGGCAGTGTCTGACCTCGAACCCCGCTGCCCACACGGAAACGCACGGCCGTTCCCATCAGCTGCCACGGCGAGGATTTAGGCTTTGCCGACACGCATGTACCCACAGCAGAGTGGGATTCGAGTCAAAGGGGGGGTGGGCTGGCAACTGCCCGGGCCCTGATCGCCACAGGAATCTAGAGTGATGGGCAACACGCCCCTGGGAATAAAGTCGCGGGGAATATGCGCAGAAGGACATGTGGACGGAGGGGGAGAAACTTTGAACAAGGCCTGAGGTAGAGGTGGGCGTGGCCGAGTTCAACCAACACACACACACATATGCACACACGTGTGCACACTGCACATACGTGTGCACACTGCACATACATGCAAACAACATACATGTGCACAGACATGGACGCTGCATACACACACTCACACTGTATCTCCATGTTAGAAAAGTGGTTTCTGATCTGCCATCTGAGGGCGTGGGTCCCACTGTCGCCCACGGGGCTACCGCTCGGCTGAGGGCACTGCACCCGCACGCCCCCTCCTCGCCTGCGGAAGCAGCCTCTCCCGATAACACGAGGAAACGTGTGGAGAACGTGGGCACGAGGGTGGCCCGGGGGGATCAGTGCGGCTGCTGACGTTGGCCACGTGCCCTGACCGGTGCGGGCTCCCTCTCCTTCCTTTCCTGTCCTTGTTCCCCCAAATCAGAACTCACACCCCGCAGACCTCAGTTCCCTTTGAGACGAGCAAAATGCCCGGCCGGCGTGGCTCAATTGCTTGAGCGTCATCCCATACACTGGAGTCACCGGTTCGATTCCCAGTCAGGGCACAGGCCCGAGGTGCAGGCTCGATCCTCAGTAGGGGGCGTGCAGGAGGCAGCCAATTGATGTTTCTCTCTCTTCCTTCCTCTCTTAAATCAATAAAAAGGTGTTTTTTTTGTTTAAAGATTTACCCCAACAGGGATCCCCAATCAGGAAAGGGGGCTGGTACCCTGTGGGTAAAGCGTGTTTGGGGAGCTTTCATCCAGTCTTTCGGGGAACGGCAGCTCATTCTGCCCGTCGTCCTGATATCCTGCTTCTGCCTACACCCCAGGGACCCCTGTGAGCTGCCTTATGCTCACCTCCCTGGGCCACCGAGTTAATGCTGGGCCAGTGCCCTGCGGAGGGGATGTGCTCAAGGACCTAAGGCTCTGTCCTGAGAAGATATTGCTCACGATTCACCCTTTAATGCGGCGGAGGAGGTCCCGGCAGCGCCCGCCCAGCACCCCCGTCTGCCATGGGAACCACTCTGGCTTGGAGCAGGCTGGCCGGCTGCCACGCAGGGAGGAGAGAGAGGAGGGAGGAGGAGCCCGGTGGAAGCTGGGCGTTTACTTGACAGGGAGGGGAGCCAGCGGCTGGACGGGATGCGCCCACAGTCCTGCAGAGAGGGGCGCTCAGAAGGCCTCCTTGGTGCTGTTGAATTTCTTTGGGGGGAGCCGGGGGGAGGGGGGCGAGGAGGGCGAGGAGGGCGAGGAGGGCGAGGAGGGCGAGGAGGGCGATGCCCCGAAGCTGCAATCGGGGGTCTGTGGGCCGAGCGGCGGTGTCTGTGTACTTACGGGGATGGACCGGCTCAGGAACCGGGCCGAGGAGGAGGACAGGCCGGTGTAGGAGGCCCGGGGGCTGGGGGCGGCGGGGCCGGGGCCCAGCTCCTCCGTCTTGGTGCTCGCGGAGCCCCGCTGGCTGCTCGAGGGGCTGCGGCTGTACTGGTTGTTGTTGAGCTCGGGGTAGTGTCTGGAGGACGCCTGGGAGCTGCCGTTGAGGAGGTTGGCGAAGGGGCTGGCGGCGAGGCCCACCTTGCAGGGTGGGGTCTTCCTGCTGTCCGGGTCCTCCGCGGCCGCGCTCAGGTTCCCCAGGGAGCTGGCCAGCCGCGAGTTTACGGAGAAGCTGGAGGGACACAGGAACACGACAGCCATGCTACTGGCTCGAGGCCAGACACACAGCACGGCACTGGGGGGTGACGAGGACAGTGCGGGGGACAAAGGGGGCAGATCGCGGTGCTGTTGGTCCTGAGATCGGGGTGCTACAGGATGCTAGATCAGGTGCTATTGGATGCGAGCTCGGGTGCTATGGGTCCTGAGGCAGGAAGTAAGTGAACTCTAAGCAAAGGGCGAGAAGCGCCAGCTTTAACTCAGAGGCATTTGATCACACGGCTCCATGAACCGTCCCGGCCGCCTCGGAGGAATGACCATCGGCTGTACCTTAGCGCATACAACTCAGCTCCGTTTTCAAACCAGGCGACTACAGAAAAGGGTGCCGCCCGCCATCCCCCCGCAGCCTCGTCTTCACAATGCAGGAGGGGACAGGCCCAGGGGGCACAGGGCCTTTGTGGTTTCTCTCCCCTCCCCCCAAGGGCAGCCGGACTCCCTGCTGCTGACCTGGACCCCAGCCCTCGGACGGGGGAGTTACCTTCTCCCACTGGCGCCCGAGGCCAAGCTGCCCCTGGTGATCCGCTTGGCCGTGGCGGACGGGGAAGAAGCCACTTTGCAGATCTTCAGAGCAGACGCAGACCCTTGTGAGGAAGAAGCCAGTCTGTGGGGAGAAAACAGAGCCAAGTGTCACGGGAAGGCTGTGCCACGTGGACACTCAGCCATCGGCGAGGGCGAGGCGCCGCCCAGACAGCGGGTCTGGCTCTCGGGGAGCCTCGGTGCCCAGCCCCCTTTGCCAGCGGCCGTGCGGGGGTCCGACCGGGACCCCCCACCCCCGCCCTGCTCTTCACCTCCCGCCATCCTGGGCCCCTCCCCCCGGGTCCTCTCCTCCCACCGGCCCCTGGCCGGGGCGAGGCCACGGCTGTGCCTTATCCCAACTGCCCGTCGCATCTTTGCATCCGACCCCCTGAGAGTCCACGGCTGTGCCTTATCCCAACTGCCCGTCGCATCTTTGCATCCGACCCCCTGAGAGTCCACGGCTGCACAGCCTCCGGCGGCACCTACACCCTCATCCTGTGGCTTCGCGGGGGAACCGCCTCCTCTTTCCTCGGGGCCCAGCGCTCCCCAGGGCATCCCGGTTTGGGTCAAACCTCTCTCCTGCCCTGCCAAGCCCTGCACTGGGTCCTGGTACCCCCATGGCCTGGCAGGACCAGAGAGCACCTAGGGGACTTTTCCCCGAGAAAAACACTAACGTGTCCCCTGCGCGTGGAGGGTAGAGGAGAGAAAACAACGATAAAAGAGAGGAGGGCAACAAACGTGCAAAACGAGGAAGGAGGAATAGCAGGAACGGTGTCCGTTCACCGCAAAACCGAGCACCAGCTCCAAAGGGCTGTGGCAGCCAATGGCCTTTATCAGAGGCCCCCTCCGCCCCCTGCCCCCCGCGCAGTAAGCACCGGTCACTGCCACAGCCACCAGCCCCCCCCCCACCCCCTATGCAGTAAGCACCGGTCACTGCCACAGCCACCAGCCCCCCCCCCCACCCCCCATGCAGTAAGCACCGGTCACTGCCACAGCCACCAGCCCCGGGGCCGCTCAGGAACGGAACCCCTTCTCCTGGGGAGCGTGGAACACACCCCATCGTCACAGAGAGGAAGGGGCTGAAGCAGTGAAACACGGGGCGCAGCTCATTTTCACCAGTTTGCAGGGGTGGGGAACGTCCGGCCCACGGGCCGTATAAGCCCGAGAAATCATTGGTCTGGCCCTGCCCAGGCGTTGGGATGCGTTAATTAAATGTTGGGCCAACCATGGCAGGCTGGTTTTTAAGCTGATGCTTTTGTGTGGCCCTCGAGTGACGTTATAAATATCCAATGGCACTGACAGGGCAAAGCCCCCCCACACCCCACCTCACTCCGGCTCAGGCCCGGGTGTCGTCAGCTCCGGTCACCGTACCTGAAAGGCTGGCACACCACTGCCCTCGGGTGCCCTTTCATATCGTCCAACCTACAAAGAGCAGAGACAGGCGCTCAGGGTCCCCGCGCGCCCCTCCCAGCTGAGACCCAGGCGCACGCGCAGGCAGAGCCCTGAGGGAGCCCCTGGGAACGGGCATCAGTGTGCCTTCACTGACAAAATAAACCCGAGCCAGCAGGAAGTGACGCAGGCTTTTTGTTTCATCTTGAATTCCATGTAGAGCAAACTGCTTTCCTTGTTTGCTTTTGTTAATCCTCACCCATAGATATTTTTCAATTGAATTTAGATAGAGAGGGAGGGAGGGAGGGAGGGAGGGAGGGAGGGAGGGAGGGAAACATCAATGTGAGAGCAGCACACTGATTGGTTGGCTCCTGCGTGTGCCTAGCCGGGGATGGATCCTGCAACCCAGGTGCATGGCCTTGACTGGGAACCGAACCCAAGGCCCTTCAGTGCCCAGGCTGATGCTCTAACCACTGAAACACACTGGCCAGGGTGCAGCTGATCCATGATTCTCTCTCATCATTGATGTCTCTCTCTCTCTCTCTCTCCTTCTCTGAAATCAATACAAATAGATTTTTTAAAAAAAGGAGAGAGAGGGTTAAATATTCTGTCCACACGTGGAACACACATGAAGGTCGAAGTTTCAAATGCTCTACCTGAAGGCGTAGGGCGGCGAGGAGCGTGGCTGGCGCTGGCTCTTTAAGGCACGTAGTTTGTCTCCCTGGGTTATGCTGTTCTTCATTTCCACATCCTCATCCTCTTCCAAGTTGTTCTGGGGGGAAAGTGCATGTTCCACAGAAAGGTCACGGTGAACGATTGGCTGTATGAGTATTTCTTACTAGATGGCAGGCTACAGTGTGTAGATGTATTTCATACGGATTATCTTCATCGCTTTAATGCACTATGAACTCAGCACTGCTCACATGTACATTACAGAATGTGAAGTACAGCATAGGGAATGCAGTCAATCATAGAGGATGCAGGGTAGAACTGCATACCCCAAACCTCTGCAATTTTATTAACCAAAGTCACCCCACCTGACAGCCTCCCTGCACCCTGTGCATGGTCACCCCGTCTTGCTGTGGGGGAGGGGGGCTCCACGCCTAAGATTCTGGTCCTCTCAGCCTCAGAGAAGAAACAAGTTCCGCCCTGGGAGTCCACGTGCAGGACGGGAGTCCTGGGGGGACACCGATGCCTCCCCGGGGGGCTCACCTCTCCAAATCGCTCCACGTTCTGTATTTTGGATAAGTTTCCACCTATAGACATGTCATCCAAGTTCGAAAGAATTTTATTAATACTTTCTTCGCTGGACGGTCTATTTTTCAATTTGGATCGAAAAAGGTCTCCTTGGACCCATAACGATGCTTGTTTTCTGTAGAAAGGAGAGAAAAGCAAAATGCCCTTTACAACAAATACTGTCATCTCAGGAGTATGATGTCTTGTCAACAAAAGAACAAGCAGATAAACATTTACAAAGCAGAACAGAGCGATTACGGTCTTGGGACAAGGAAAATAAAGTCCCTTTCTGAAGCCGCAGCAAGTTAAATTCTATATAAAACACAAATGACCATCTTCTGCTACAGGTCCCGATCGCCACACAGGGGTTGACTGCTAAGGTTCTCAGATGCTCAGAACAAATTCCATCGCAGAAGACTGGGAACCCCTTCGTTGTTTTTAAAAATATGTATTTTGTTGATTTCAGAGAGGAAGGGAGAGGGAGAAACATCCATGATGAGAGAGAATCATGAATCGGCTGCCTCCTGTGCACCCCACAGTGGGGATTGAGCCACAACCCGGGCATGTGCCCTGACCGGAAATCGAACCTTGACCTCCTGGTTCATAGGTCGACACTCAACCACTGAAGCCACCACGGCCGGACTAAAATCTGCTTTTTGAATCCCCCCCAAAGAAAGGCAGGTCCGTTGCCTTGTCTCCGGCTTTGAATTGCGAGCACGCGGTTCACTGTGCGGCTGCTTCTATTTGGAGCTGACCTCCCTCCCTCCGCACTCCTGAGCCCGACGCGTCCTGACCCACAGCATCCCCGCGACCTTCATCACCCTCCAGTCCGGGCACGCCCTCCCAGTGCCACCCTCCCTTCCCCGTGTCCACCCAAAGCCACAGTGGTCATGTCGCCTGGAAACCCACCCACTTTGTGCCCCACCCAGGCCTGCTGTGCTGCAACCTGCGGCCAGGCCACCCCGCACGGCTCCCAGCACCACCCCAGGGCGGCCGTGGGTCCAGGGGGTGCTCCTGGATTCGAGAATCGGACAAATGAGACCCTCTCACTTGGCATCAGAGGAAGATGTCAGAGAGCGGCACCCATGACTGGGGAGACGGAAGGAGGCCCTAAGCAAGGAGAACTGTTCCTACTTCATACTGATGGATGTTCCATCGGAAGATGTTTAGAAAGAGTGTAGGAGGGTGTGGGAGAAGGTTCTGCTTCTGCAACACCAAGAAAATGTAGCTAGAAAGGAAAGAAGTGATTTGGGACATTCGCCAAAGAGTCAACTACCTGAATCTAGTTGAATTTAGGGGTAGAACCCCTCCATCCTCGCCCTCAGTCACTGCTATCAAACCAAAATACAAACTTCACAACGAACCCTAACGCATCATTATTTCACCTCTAACCCCTTTCACACAGGAAACAAAACAAAAACCATTCCATGTGCCACAGTAACTGGCATGAGATTTTCAGGATCAATTCCTGATGCCACCATTGCCAAAAATTCTTCTAACACACCTTATTCTTCAGACCTGAACCCAGGTCCTTGCTTAGCCAATGGCGTCAATGCCAATGGGGTGTCGAGTGAATCGAATGATGTAATAGTGAATATCGAAAAGCAATTCTCAGGTTTGTAGTAGCTGTTCCTGCAAAAAAGCGACTGTCACGCACAGTTCCAATTCAAACCCATGTCGTGTGCTTGTGGCTCCAATAAACCAACCACAAGATTGTCAAGCATTATTTTCCTTCACTTCTAATATTTCAGATCCTAATTGTTGCTATTTTAGGAATAGCAAGTTCCGAAATCTTTTAATAGATTATTTTAAAAAATGGAACCCACTTTCCTTGACCCAGTGCCTGTATCTAACACACCCACATCCTGAAGGCACACAGGAGGAGTCAGTCATGATAAAAACCCCAGCTCTATGGTTAGACATGTCCAAGCATTTTTCCATCTCGTGAACAGGCGTTCTTCATCTCGTGTTTGGTCATTTCCTGAAATAAAAAGCACTGGTTGACCTATTAACTGCCGATGTCACTCGGTTCTATGGTGACATTTACCAGATGCTGTAAGCACCACACGGAGCGAGACAGCCAGTGCCGAGACGAGTGAGCTCAGGCCTCGTCCACCCTGTGGGTGGAACCACCCGCCTCACCCGGGCGCTTGTGAGAAACTCGGGATCTCGGGTCCCACCCGACCTGCTGGCTCAGAAACGAGATCCCCACGGTCCGCGGGCGCCTGGACCTTGAGGAGGTCTGCAGACCCACTGCTACGTTCGCCGGCTGGCAAATACCCGGCGGACTGGACGTTGAGGAAAACAAACAGAATGGGGGCCCGGCTGGCATGGCGCAGGGGTTGAGCGTCAACCCATGAACCAAGAGGTCACGGTTCCATTCCCGGTCAGGGCACAGGCCCGGGTTGCAGGCTCAATCCCCAGTGTGGGGCGTGCAGGAGGCAGCCGATCAATGATTCTCTCTCATCATGGAAGTTTCTCTCTCTATCTCCCTCTCCTTTCCTCTCTGAAATCAATAAAAATATTCTTTAAAAAAGACACAGAAATGAATGCCCGGGCGTGTGTGGTGTGAGGACCGGCAGGCGTGAGGAGCAGCGTCCTGAGGTCCCGGGGCTGGAATGCCCTCCCCACAGGGCTCCGTGGCTCACGTGGAGGAGCACACCCGCCCCCCGTTCAGGGTCTGACAGATGAAGACCCATCAGGAGACGTTTCACCCTCATTTCCTCCCCGAGGAGCGTGTTACTTATTCATGTGTCTGCGTCATCGCCGACGCCACTCTCTTCATCTCTCATGTCTTTCGTCCGTCCTCACCACCTGAGACTGATGTCCTGCAACGGCCCGGGCCCCCTTCTGGCCCGGGGCCCCCCTTCTAGCCCGGGGCCCCCCTTCTAGCCCGGGGCCCCCCTTCTAGCCCGGGACCCCCCTTCTAGTCCGGGGCCAAGTCCCAGGCTCTTTCTTTAGCCTCTGACTCCAGCTCCCACACCTGCTGGTGGGAAGCCACCGGACACGGCGCTGGGCCCAGTCTTGAGTAACATGAGGTCGCAGTGCCCCCCTCTGAACCCCCCAAGGGAGAAATCTGAGGAACGCGACTCGTTCCGAACAGCCACACCCACAGGAGGCCTGGGGTCTCACTGCCCATCCTCCCTGACCCGCCACAGGTGACGACACCTCCACGGGTGCCTCCGCATCCTGCCTACACGAAGCTGTCGGAACCAATTCCCACGCACGTGGCAGCCCAGGAGAACACGGCACTTCTGCACGGTTCTGGGGTCAGGAGGCCAACGGCGGCTCCAAAGCAAATTCCCAGGCCAAACAGAACGCGACAGCGTGACCAGAAGACTGACCATACCATGTATCTGCACGTCTGTGCAGAAGCCCGAGCTCCCACACCTGCCGCTGGGCACAAGGGCGGGCGTGCCTGCCTAGGACCCCCTGGGGGACACCTGCTGTGGCTCACTGTCCCTCTCAGGGGCGGGCAGCCAACAGGCCGCTGGGCCGACGGACAGGGGGACAGCCAACAGGCCACGGGCCGACGGACAGGGGGACAGCCAGGCCTCTCCGTGCACGGACACACTCACCCACCGAGCCCCAGCGGCCAGGGCTCCTCGTCCCGTTAATGGGCGAATGGCTGGTGATTCTAAAATGTTAAGGGGAAACCGGGAAGGGTGTGCGCCTACAGGTTAAGTCTCTCCCCCTTGGGGACTGAGGTTGGACCAAAGCCAGGGGTGAGCACGGGAAGGAGGGGTTATAAGTATTCCTCTGAGTCCGGGCCGGCGGGACCAGCCGCTCTCCCTCCTGCCCGGGCAGCTCCTCAGATGCAGCCACATGCAGCTGCCTCCTCGTCCGGGAGCGGCAACCTCGCCACCGTCACCCACAGGCCTCAGCTGCGTTTTGTTTGGTGTGTGTGTTTTCCGCTCTGCTTATAGACGTGCAAACAACAGGAAAGAAGGGAATGACATGCCAGGTGGGAAGACATAAGAAAATCACACTGAGGCCAGGTCACACCCAGGAAACGACAGGGAACAGGCAGGCGCAGGTGGCTCTGCGCCTCCTTCTCGCCTGCCCGGCCCGGAGACCGCCGGAGCCGTGAGGAGGCCGGAGCCGTCCCCTCGCCAGGCTCCTGGGGCGCGGCCTTCCCTCCGGATGCAGCCGTCCATCACCCCGGCTGCCACGGTCCGGGGGGAACGGAGGCAGGGCGACCAGGGACCCGGATGTACCCTGCCCGTGGGGACGACAGACTTACTCTTCCAGGAAGTGCTGCTGGGGCCCGATGATGGAGCCGGGCCGGCATATCCGGATCCAGGAGATGACCTCGGCGTGCGTGAACCTGTAGTGCTTCATGACGTAGCAGGCGATCAGCGTCCCCGTCCTGCCCAGGCCGGCTGCAAGAGAGGGACGAGCCGGGGATGCAAACCCGCCCGGCACCTGCCCGGGCACTGCCTGTTGAAAACGCTACTGACCCCGTTTCATCAGACGAGGGGCGTGGGGGGGGGCCTGTTGGCACCTGAAGCAGGGCCACCTCCTGACCCCAAGGACCTGACCCGGCACCAACGCGCTAGAAAAGAGTGACGTTAATGTGGCCTCCTGGGCTCTCCTTTAGACGTAGGAGTCAGGAGACATTTGTCCTGGTCTCTGCGGAGGTCTGACAAGGACACAGATCATGTTGACAGAACACAGCCCAGTGGCCCGGAGCAGGACCAGGGCCAGTTGGCGTCCAGAGCCCCTCTGCTGGCTCTGTGGGGACACCAGTGCCCCCACGCCCTCTCCCTGGGCCAAGGAGGGGGTTGGGGGCGGGGGGCTCCTCGCCACACACACCCACAACCAAAAAGAAAAGGTGCAGAAAGTGTTCAGAGCCCTCTGAAACTAAGATGCTTCCCCCTTTCAAAAAGCCTGTAATTTAATCTATAAAAAGAACGTACTTGTGCTCTCACCAGGATCGCACAGGAGAGGAGCATTCCGCTAGGTTCTAGAAGAGCCTGAACGGTTTGTGAAAGCGGGCCTAGCGAGAGGGCTCCCGGTGCCGCGGGGCGAGAAGCTAGACGGGGTCTATTTACCGACTGCCCCGCCGCCCGCCTTACAGGGCCAGGCGGTTCCTGAAATCCCTATGTCAAACTCACGGCCCGTGGGCCGAATGCCTTGTTTATTTGGCCCGTGTTAGCCTTTGAGTTTGACATGCTTGCTGCAGAACCTCAGCAATCGCAGGTCAGGGCTGCACAGTGCGGCCATGTTCCAAACGATTGTGCTAGAAAATTTCACGAGTCCCCAGCCCTCTCTTCACTCAACCAGAAGGTGAACAGGAGACACTGAACGGTCACAGCAGGTCACACCTTCCCAGCAAACCCGGTTCTGGTTTGTCCTCGGGGGGTGAGGGGGGAGCTTTTCCTGCCAAGGGCATCTGCACATTTATAACGTCACTCACGGGCCACACAACGTTATCCACTTAAACATCCGCCTGCTCTGCTTGGTCAAACATTAACACCCCTGATGCCTTGGCAGGGCCAGGCCCAATGATTCTGAGGGCCTTACACGGCCCGCGGGCCGGACGTTCCCCACCCCTGCTCTGTACAGCACTTTGCGGGAGGCGCGTGGCACAGCCGTTCTCTCCGCGGCCACCGAAGTTCGTGGGACACGGAAGACTGTTCTCGCTGCCTCCTCCTCGCAGTTCAGTTAAAATGCTCGAGGCGGCTGAATTCCCAGAAAATTAAGCTGACTTAATTAGGGCGGATGTCAAAATAATTAACGGGCCTCCAGCAGACGCCGACGCTATGAAAAGCAGTGGAGTGGTCATTACTCCGAAGGTGTGATCCTCGTAGGAGGCTCCCGCGTGTGTGTACAAGTGGAAGCAAATGAAACACTCGGCCAGGTGTCGCCACCTGGGAGCGGGGCGGCCCACACGCTGACCCCGGCTTCCGGTCAGGATGGCGCCTCCCACACGGATATCACAGCCGAGTTACGGAGCGACCACCCTGAGCCGCGCAGACTCGCTGCAGCCCTCTGTGTAACGGCGCACGTCCAGCTGCAATGCCCTCGCTGTACCAAAGCTGCAACGGATCATTCTAATGCAAAAACCCACAAAACCAAACTAGACATCAGGCCAAACTCATCCCGGGAAAGACAAAAGTCGTTTAAGAGAGAGCCTGCGAGCATTTCCTGTTCCCAGGACCTCCCAGCTTCCGCGGACACATGAAACGTGGAGTGCGGGCTTTTTCGTGGGCCTGGGCAATCCTTCCACTTATTTTTACTTGTTTTATTTGAGAGAAAGAGAGAGAGAGGGAAAGAGAGAGGGAACCATCGATCTGCTGTTCCGCTTATTGACGTATTTACTCGTTTGTGGGTTCTTGAATGTGTCCTAACCCAGGTCAAACCCGCAACCTTGGCCTATCAGGATGACGCACAAACCACTGAGCTGCCTGGCCAGGGCGTGCTGGGCAATCTTGACCAAAATGCGAGGGCAAGGCAGTTAGGCTGCGAATGGGCCACACCCGGGGCACACCCGCCCCCCAACGTGACCTGATGGGAAGGGAGAGCAGCAATCTGCCAGGAGTGAAGGAAAGACCCCCCCTAAGAGGCAGGGAGGCCTGCCCTCAGGCCCCATCCTGCCGGGAAACGGGAGGGAGGGGCCTGTCGGGTGGACTGGCCTGTCGCAGGAGCCCCATCTAAATGGGGGCCGCGTGCCGCTCAGCCCCCCTCCCGGGTTCCTGCAGAGGCAGCCTCCGTTGCTCTCACATGTTCAGCAAAGCACCTCCACCTACTCACATCTTAAACATAGCAGCAGGCCCGGATGGCGTTTCATCACTGTCAGAGCCAGAGCAGCTCGCGGAGCACGTCAGCTCCAGCAGCGCAGCCCCCACATGGACCAGACCCTGAGCACCAAACCCCACAGGTGCGGGAGCAGCGCCCCCCAGTGGCGCTCGGAGACGCTGCACGTGGGGAGCCGGGGGCCCAGCCCAGGGAGGCCAAAGCCATTCCTCCCGGCAGGGAAATCACAGACCGGCCTCTGCAGCTCCGAGCATGTGTTCTCTCCGTTTGCCGAGCAGCGGACACGGGCTGCAGGGACCATACAGCACGTACGTTCCGTGCATATTTGAGACACATTAAAAAAGTCCTCGTCGTTTATCTAAAACTGAACTTTCACTGGGCCGCCTGCACTGCTCTGTGCTAAACCCTACAACCCGGAGGACCCTGCCCCAGCGCGCCCCCCCGCCCCCCTCCCCAGACCAGAGATTCCTTTACACAACCAAGTCCTGCCGTTCACTCAGAGACAAGCCAACCGCCAGTGACTCCTGTGGGCTGCCGTGCCCTGGCCTCGGGCTGGGAAGACACGCGCAGAGGCCGTGGGGAAAGGCAGAAGAGGACGGGGCAGGCCTCACATCTGGGGCATGAAAGGGAGCATCAGCCCAGGGGGTGTGGGAGGGAGGAAAGGGGTGGCCGATTCCAGGAGGGAGAGAGGGACCAACCAGCCCTCACCTCCTGACAGGTGTGCCGGCACCTGCCCAGCTGCATGGCTCAGCAGCTGAGCGTCGACCAGGAAAGTGCGGGTTCCATTCCCGGTCAGGGCACATGCCCAGGTCACAGGCTCGATCCCCAGTGGGATGCTCCTCTCTCATCAATGTTTCCATCTCTCTCCTTCTCCCTTTCTCTCTCTCTCAAAATCAATACAAACATATTTTTTTTTAAAGTCTTCAACAAATAGAATAAAAGTGCCCTGCCAGCCTACAGACGCCGCCCCGGCCCCGCACCGAGGCGCCTGGGAAGGGAGAGGACCCGGGAGGCCACACCGCCACCGGCACCCACATCCAAGCCACCCTTTCCTGGGAAGGGGTTGTGCCAACAGGCTGCGTCCCCTTTCCTCAGACACAGTGGCTCTGGGGCCTGGCGGGCGCGCACCTTTGCAGTGGACGGCGATGGCCCCCTCCGTGTTCTCGCAGATGTTCAGGAACCTGCGCACGATGTTGTCGCAGGGCGTGCTGCCGTCGATGAAGAAGAGGTCGTAGTGCTCGAAGCCCGCGTCTGTGAAGCGCTTGGCCTCGTAGATCTTCTTGTTCAGCCTCACGATGGCCGTCACGTTGTGCTTTTTGAAGTAAGGGAAGTAGGCTTCGGGGGCGTGGAGGGGGTAACCTGGGGGAGAGGGGGCTGTCAGCACAGCGGGGGACCCCGGGGGATCCCCCATTTCTCTCCCTGGGATCCTGGCTGTTTCCTAAGCCTCGTTCCCCCGCCTTCCCCGGGACTCCCAGCATCATTCCGATAGGTGCCTCTTGGGCTTCATTTGCCAGAGGTGGTTCTTCCGCCTGCCCCCCGCCCCCCCAGCCGAGGGTACACTGAGCCGAGGTCACCCCACGGAGGCAGGCAGATCTGAGAGGCAGGCCTGGCTAACCCACAGCCCAGATACACAATTTCTACTTTTGAGCAAAGAGGTGAGAGCGTATTTGCCATCTTCCATGTAGAGAAGTGACTCACACAGGCACCAGAGGACAACTGCTCTCCCATCGGGAAAATCACACCTGTGTTCCTCGCTGGTTTATTGGCCCAAATCATCGTTCTTTTGAGAAAAGGGCACTGACGTCACCAACTATGGCAACAAGACGCTGAAGTAACGACAAGAATGAGGATAATCGTAGCCGACGTGCACTGAGCACTTGCTATGGACCAGGCACTACACGAAGTGCTTCACTGAACCTTGCAATCAGCCAGCTGCCGAGGCCTGCAAAGGGCCTGGCCCTGCCCACAGCAGGCAGGAGAGACGGCAGCGGCTGCGCCCTGGAGTCAGGCTCCGGGCTGCGCTGGGGCTGATTTCCGGCCAGAACCAACCTGAGGCTAATTGTTGGGTCTCCACTTCCTAGAGTTGGTGAGCAGGTTTCTTAAAGACCACAAGTGTTTCAGTGAGCTATACCCAAAGCCAGTGGCAATATCCTATGGCTGGCGACAGCTGCTTGGGGTGCCATCAATGCTCTCACAGTGTTCGGGGTGCCATCAATGCTCTCACAGCTGTTTGGGGGGCCATCAATGCTCTCACAGCTGTTTGGGGGGCCATCAATGCTCTCACAGCTGTTTGGGGGGCCATCAATGCTCTCGCAGCTGTTTGGGGTGCCATCAATGCTCTCACAGTGTTTGGGGTGCTGTCGATGCTCTCACAGTGTTTGGGGTGCTGTCGATGCTCTCACAGTGTTTGGGGTGCCATCAATGCTCTCACAGTGTTTGGGGTGCTGTAGCTGCTCTCACAGCTGTTTGGGGGTGCTATCAATGCTCTCACAGTGTTTGGGGTGCTGTCGATGCTCTCAGGGACTGGTGGTAGCGCCATGCACGGCTGCCCTTCTCCGTCCGGCCGCTAGGTGGTGCCCTGGCATCAGTGAAGCTCAGGGAGGACCCTGGATCTAACCAAACCAGAACTTGCGGGCGGAGAGAGATTTAAACATTCATCTCTTCCCTCATCAGAAGTCAGGAAACTAAAGAACAGCAGAGTCGAATGACTAGGCCCCCCAGTCATTATTAAAAGTAAAAAACTGCAAAATGGGCCAATGAAGTAAATAAAATATTAGGCTCATCCGTGATAAACACGGAATCTGAATATCTGCTCCCTAATAAGCACCTATCGTGTGCAGAGCACTGGCTACAGTATCTCTAATCCTCACTGCGCGCCTGCAATGCGCGTTGCCCCCCCTTTGATAGAGGGGGAACCCCGCTCAGAGAGGTGCAGGAGCTCACAGGGCTCGAGGGGTGCAGCCAACGAGGGGTGCAGCCGGCTCCCACCTGCCCGGCTCCCCACCTGCTCTCTCCTTAAAGGGGCAGGCTGACCTTCAGAGAGTGGGACTCCCCACCTCCGCTGTCTGTCTGTCTGTCTCTCTCTCTCTTTGTTCTTCCTTTTTTTAAACATAAACGAAAAAAGCATTCTCCCCAGAGGGTTCTGGGTGGTTTGGTGTTTTGTTTTGTTTTAGAAAATTTGAAATCCCGACTATGCTGCGGTCTGCCGCTAAATTACGCATTTACGATCCCAGCGTTTAACCAAAACACGGCGGCTCTCGCGTCCCCACAGTCAAAGCGGCCCCAGCGTGCTCTCTGTGGCCCTGAGGCTGCGTCCAGCACCCAGCACCCAGCACCCGGAGCCCCTGGGGGGAGCAGGCGTCTCTCAGGGGTGACGGCCTGTTTCTCGGGGTCTCCTCTGACACCTGGTCGGGGCAGTGAGCCCCTCTGACCCCCTGACCATCGGCTGGTCTTACAGCAGCGGCCACGCCTCCACCCCTAAGGGTGGCCTCGAGCACACGAGTTACTACGATTCCGTTTCCAAATTACGAAATTCTCTGGAGAATATCACCGAAAGGAAGGGTCATTGGAGGAAATGAAGGAATTAAAGACGGTCTGAAGCACATCGTTGGGTGGTAAAGAAAAACCTACCGTTTTCAATTTTGCTTTTTGGATGTGGTCCACTAAATGCTAAGAATTTTCCCGGAACGATCCAGTTGAAGTCACCATTTTCAACTCGCTGGAGAATTTTGTGAGGAAAAAAAAGAAAAGAAAAATATGTTATAATTCTTACACCACTTAGGAAACCCTTACGGAGAAAGTCGCTTTCATGTTACTGGACTCACTGGACATATGTAAAGACAAAGTAACAGTTTAAAATAAAAACATGCATCGATTCGCAAAATGGTACTTATGAATTCAATCCACTTCAGAAAAGTGTTTTCCTAGACTGTGTAAAATTTAAAAAAAAAAATGTTCTTAAATTTGCTTAAAAGAATTTTGTTTCCTGGCCACTCTGCAATGGAAAGGAATCCAAACAAACATTGCCTGTCCCAGCGGTAAGTAAAGGGAAATCAGAGAAAACAGACAATATACGCACTTTCCATGAACGTGGGATACACACTTTAAGCCATTTTTTAAAATCTACAAATTGATCAGAGTTATGATGCACACACTTTCATGGGGCAGCTGTTGTCAACACTGATTTTTAGAAGGAGGAGGGAGGGACAGACCCTGGTCCCACCCTCAGGGTCACACCGTGACCCAGACTCCGCCAGGGGCTCTGGCCGTGGCTGCAAACCCAACAGCTCCAGGGGCCAGGCAGGAGGAGGCCGGCCTCAGCGCTGGCTAAGGAGCCATCCTGCAGGAAAGCGCTGGATGAGGCCCACCCTCTGACGGGACAGTCGCCCGACATCTCTCTGTTTGACAACTGCCCTTGGAAGGATGCCTTTAGATACCGCACAGCCCAACAGGACACGCCTGTGGGCTGACGGGGATCACCAAGTCTCAGCCTCTGGTCCCCACACGCTAAGGATCCCGAGAAAACAAAAAAGACCAGGGAAGGGCCGAGCCTCCTCCCACTGCCCATGCTCTCCTCCTCCCCCCCCTCCCTCCCCTTCCCTGTGGCCTCTGAACCCAGGGACCACTGGGGCAGGGCTGGGGGCACCTGAGGTTGTGCGGGCGATTGGGACACATGTGTGTGATGCATCAAAAGTGTGTTAGTGCCGCTTCAAGTTTGCTTTCTTGGCCCACTCACAACGCCACCCCCACTGTCCGTCCCAGTGTGGAGGCCCCAGCCCCCCCCCCCCCCCCCCCCGCCCGCTCAGGGCCCCCACAGGGCTCCATGCACAGCTACCAGGCAGGGGAGGGAGTGTTCTCTCCCGGGCCACGGCTCCCCACACAGAAGACTCGCTCCGTCACTAGGAGGAGCAGACGACGCAGGGACCTGAGTCTGATACCGTCTGAACCCCGCGGTCTGTCGGGGCTTCTATTTGTTCAATAAGTGGGAGCAGGGCCCTGGGGAAAGTGGGAACCTCTACCTTAGTTACTTACTCTGCCCACGCTCACCCCAGGAAAACCCAACCTTGGCGCTACTGGGCTCATGTTTCAAATGCACACGTTTCTCTCCAGGTACAAATGAAGCCTGACAAGACGCCTTATGGATGTCTGAATTGCATCAAACTCGTCGTAATAAACATATTCTCTCTAGCATGCCCTAAGTAAAATCCCCACCATCTCTGTGGCTGTTAGGGGTGCACACACCAAATCTCAAGCATACCTGTCTGTTCACATCAACTGGATTAAAGCATCTCCTATACGAATCTTTTTTAATATATAATTTAAAGTAAATTTATTTTCAATATAATATTATTAAATTTTATTTAAAATACATTTTACAAATCTTTAGGATGAACATTTTCTTGCTTAAATAAAACAGTCTCGCCGGGCCGGTGTGCCTCAATGGTTGGGGTCACAGTTTGATTCCCGGTTGGGGCATATGCCCAGGTTGTAGGCTCGATCCCTACAGGGGGCATGCAGGAGGCAGCCGATCAATGATTCTCTCTCATCCCTCTCCCTTTCTCTCTGAAATCAGTAAAAATGAAAAATAAACAAACAGTCTCCAACTAATGGCCCTCTCACGTAAGTGCTAAGCTTAAAACATTACTTAAAATTTCAAAATTAAACCTAGGCTCTGACCCTCAAAAGGCGAACACCCATCTTCTGTGAACAGTGGAAGAGAACGGGTTTCTGTGTTCACTGTCTCCGTATCCCTGACCGCTCAGCGAGCTGGACAGGACACTGGGCTGTGTGTTTACTTGGGTCGTGGACATCCCTTGGTTAAACAGTAACCTTTCATACCTGTCAGACGGGCAAGACAATGGCCTCACGAAGGCACATTCGCTCCCAGAACCAAAAGAGCGTGTTTGCAAACCTGCCTATCCAAGGAGATAAACATGGGAAATACTGAACTATACTCAGTGGCCTGGACAGGTGGATGGGAGAAGCAAAGAGATTTAGGTCTTAGATCCACGTCTAAAAGAAAATGAGTAAGAATGTGAACTGACTGGTGTGACAGAAGCAGAGTTTGGTAAGCTTCCAAAATGAACATCGGGCCTCTTTCGGAGTGAAGTACACATATGTCAATATTTACCACCGTTAGAACAGTTAACGCAACACAAACCAGGCTTTCTCATTAAACAGACACGCACACCGCAGCAGAACCTGGCTCACACAGACTCCTGCCCGACGCACTCGGTAAGCAACAGCTCAGCAAGGATGAGGCCATGGGGCGAGTTCGCCCTTCCGGCCGAAAGCCTACTCCTCCGCTCCCGGGGGAAGGCCCAGATGCTCTCACTGGGAGGACACCCCAAGATAAAGAACATCGGGGCTCCGAGAGCGGGTGTATTTAGGTGGTTCTCGTTGCGTTGCCATAGAATTCTCGGTCCACGAGATTCACCCGGTTTCTTTGGAACAGCTAACCCGCCCGGTGCGTTTGAAATGCCGTGGGACTTGAGCACTTGAATTTTCACAAGTTCTAGAAACTACGTCTGCGCCCGTGAGGTGGGCCACTGCTGTGATGGCCGCAAATACATCTCTCAGCCCCAAACTGGGAGATAGTCAGCCTTTCGATAATGGACAATGTAGTGTCCTCGACAGTAAGACGGAGACGCTAGACCTGCGGTTGACAGCCACAGGGTTGGTTCCTTACGAACAGGTGTCTTTTCTAAGACAGCACAAGCACCATTCAACCTTCACTCAAACATCTATCAAGGACTCTAACTCACACTAAATACTAAAAAGCAATCAATGATTCTCTCATTACGGAGTCTGGAAGCTGTGGGAGTGACAAGTAACAGTAACGACAGCAGTGGGTACATACCTACCTGTGACTCTGTGCCAGGTGCCACTCAGGTGCGCGCAGCTCACTGAGCCTCAGAGCAGCCCCTGGGACAGGTGCTACTGTCGTCTCCTTTTGCTCCATGGCTGGAGACTGCACGTCCCAGGCCCTCGACATTCACATTGCACCCTAACCCCAGTGTGATGGTGCGAGGAGGTGGGCCTTTAGGGGGAGATCAGGTCATGAGGATGGGGCCCTCTCGAATGGAGTTAGTGCCCTTATAAAAGAGAGGCCAGGGAGTGTCCTCGCCCCTTCCACCACCTGAGGACATGGGAGAGGAGGGCCGTCCATGGCCTGGGGGCTGGTCCTTCCTTGACGCCCAGTCCCCCCTCCCCCCCCCGCCCCCCCTTCCCGCTCCCGATCCCAGACCTCCAGCCTCCGGAACTGAGAGAAATCAGTGTTTGCTGCGTAAGCCACACAGTCTATGGTGTTTTTCTTACAGGAGCACAAACTAAGGCACCCGTTAAAGGAAATGCGACATTACACGTGAGAACAGCCACCACAGATGTACATGCGAGGTTTAACAGCGCCACAAAGACTTCTGAAAACCAAAGAGACGGAACTCAGTCTTTTTTTCTTTATGAAGTACCACTGTCTAACCCAGTGGCTCTCAACCTTCCTAACGCCGCAGCCCTTTAATACAGTTCCTCGTGTTGTGGTGACCCCCAATTTCATTGTTACAAATTGAACATAATTTAAGCATGGTGATTCATCACAAAAACATTATGTAATTATATATGTGTTTTCCGATGGTCTTAGGCGACCCCTGTGAAAGGGTCGTTCGACCCCCAAAGGGGTCGCGACCCACAGGTTGAGAACCGCTGAAACCGCTATGCTCTACACCTGAAACTAATGCAAAGCAATACTGAATGTCCCTGTCATTGAAAAGAATGCTGACAGTGAGAGCATCCCATAGACACAAACATGCTGGGACGACAGGCACTTGATGAGCTTACGGCAAAGAAAATATTTGAGGCATTTGGTTAATTAAGTGTCCGCGCCGTTTGGCTCCGAATCACCCGCTCCAGGTTGTTAGTTCAGGTTTGCCCTGGACGGGCCGCGCGGGGGAGGGAGGGCGTGGGAGGGCCTGACCCCCGAGCCTTTGGGCTTGTTTCCCCTGAGCAGGTGCAGCCGCGTTTCCGAGTAAAAATGCGGCCGGCGAAAGTATTACAAGGCACACGTCCAGTTTTGTTTTCAAAAGCAGCCGGATTTTCAAATGAATGTAACTTACAAGTTCACTGCCAAACTGTGCGATTACTTTTCTCAGGAAGCTGGAAAGCAATTGTCAACAAAGATTCGACGGCAGAATACAGAGATCCGGCGTTTCCCGAAACCGGAGTGATGACTCCCAGTCGAAGCTGAGAGGACACCCCGACAACCCGGGGAAACGCCAGGGCGCTGTCCTCCGCCGGCGCCCCGCGGGCACCACGTCACCCACGCGTGATCACAGCCACAAACACGGACGCGCACCCACCTCGTAGTGTTCGTACTCATCCACGTCGAACGTCTCAAAGTCGAAAAATCCGTGCTGCAATCCCTGGAAGCAGAAGGGGGGTCAGTTTCCACGCTGAGCAGAGGCGGCTCCTGCCGGCGCCGGTGCCCTCGCCCACGCCGCCCCGTGCCCACGCCGCCCGTGCCCACGCCACCCCGTGTCCATGCCGCCCCGTGTCCTGCCGCCCCGTGCCCACGCCACCCCGTGTCCATGCCGCCCCGTGTCCTGCCGCCCCGTGCCCACGCCACCCCGTGTCCATGCCGCCCCGTGTCCTGCCGCCCCGTGCCCACGCCGCCCCGTGCCCGCGCGCAGAGCCCGGAGGAGGCCGCTCCTCGCACAGCCTTCGTGCTCTGAGCCTGTCTCACAGGGGACGACACACTCAAACATGACGGTCATTTACATGATGGTCATTTCGCGGCCATTTACGTGACTTGTGTGTAAAATTACTTCTGTCTCCAACATGCAACATAGCAGCAAGGTTATAGCTAAAACATGTCCCCAGATTCTCCCATCTTTCTGGTTAGCCTCTCCATGCTCCACACCGGGGTGGGCAAAGGCAGGTGAAATTACCAGCCAGCCAGTGACTCTGATCACTGACGTTTCTCTCCCTCTCCCTTCCTCTCTGAAATCAATGAAAGCACAAACATCGAGAGAGAGCCAGATGGGGTCCTCCAGGCCAGCGGGGGAGCAGCGGTCGGACTCCTGTCTCCCGCCCGGGTCGCCGGGTCACCTGGCCGATGGCGCTGATGCCCAGGCCCCGCAGCAGACAGACGGAGGACAGCTGCCCAGAGCAGTTGCAATGGGAGGGCGCCCCTTCCGCTGCTGAGAGGAGCGACAAGGCGGCCAGGCCCGGCGGCGACCGCCCTACGGCCTCCATTTACAGACCGTCGTTGGAGCGGAAGCCTTCTGCCCCGACGCCCTCTCCTCCCCGCAGCACACAGGGCAGGGGCCTGGTTCCCTTTTCACGTTGGAAACGACCGTGTGGCCGCAGCCGGGAGAGCTGGGTTACCTTTCTGATGCCCTGCAAACAGTCGAGGATGGTGAGGTTGTACGTGCAGTTTCCGAAGGAAGCATCCCTGTCAACACAGAAAAGCCCCCGTTAGCCAGGCAGTCAACAGCCGGTCTGTGTGCGACGCCCAAGCCCACGGGCACAGGCTGGGCTGGCTCCCAGCGGCGGCCGTGGTCAGCGCCTGGGGCCCATCAGATGCGACCGGTTGGGGACTCACTCCACGGCGTCACCCAGCACTTCTGAGACGCTGTACCCCAGGGGGCGGGTGGCCGAGCCCGAGGCCCGGGGGTCGGACTCAGATCCCAGCCCTGCTGGGACCTGTGCCAGTTACGCTGCCTCCGGGTCTCAGCTTCTCACCTGCGAGACGAAGGTCCTGAGAGTAGCAGCTACGTTCGTAGGACTGTGGTCGGGTGACCCTTAAAGAACAGAAGTCCTTCCCACAGCACCCGGCTCTCAGGAGGCACTTACTGAATGTGATCACTACTCCCGTCATTACGAATGGGCATAATAGAACTGCGCGGTTTTATTCATATATATATATATATATATATATATATATATATATATATATTATTGATTTCAGAGAGGAAAGGAAAGGGAGAAACATCAGTGAGGAGAGAGAATCCTGGACCGGCTGCCTCCTGCACGCCCCACACTATGGATGGAGCCCACAACCCGGGCCTGTGCCCCGACCGGGAATTGAACTGTGACCTCCTGGTTCGTAGGTCGACACTCACCCCTGAGCCAGCAGGCAGGCTGGACTGTTTTATTAAGAAAGATGTTCGTCGTCATGAGAGGAGCAAGCACTGCGAGAGGGCAGAGCGGGGGCGAGGGATGCAGAACCCATGTTCACAGAGCCCAGCAGCTATGCTCATGGGCGAAATGCCAGCCTCCCTTCCGCCCGGCCTGCCCCCCAAAACCACAGGAAACGGCAGCCATGCTTGGGAAGGACGTCCTCTCGGGACCCACGGGAGCGGAGGGGCGCCTACTGCACTGAACACCGAGCGCTTCATCCTTTATTTAGGTTTTTAGAGAACTTAGCAGACCTGCGCTCGGAACCTAAAACTCCAGTATCAGGTTCAGGCCAGTGAGCAGGAGCTGGCACGGCTTTGCCTCGCAGTGCTCCAAGGTGCCCACGGCGAGCAACTTGACCTCGAGGCTCCCGTCTCTGCCCAGCCCCCACGGCTGACCGAGGGGCAGCGCTCCGGCCCCGGCCCCGGCCAGGACTACCTGGGTCCTAGGGCGGCAGGGGCGGGGCCAGGGTGTTCCCAGGGGAGGAGGTGACCCGTAAGAGCTTTCACATGGGATGACTATACACCTGAGTTTTATGTCGCACCAGCCAAGGTAACTTGAACCGACGGTTGCTAAGCCGTGAATTAAAATGCGACGTCAGCCCTGACACGCCCTTTTCTCAGCCTGAGCTGTATTTTTTAACTTTTTTTATTTTATTGAATTTATTGGGGTGACATTGGTTAATTAATAATCAGAATAAGTTTTAAATGCATACAATAAAACACAGAGGAATAAGAGAAGGCTCACTCAATTAAACTTACAGTTATCAAAAGCAGTAGAAAAATTAAATTTAAGAAACGTCTCCCAAACAGATACGAAGAGAAAGGGCGCCCCTCACTCACGCCCTAGCGCGGAGGGTGGCTGGTGAGTACCAGGCATTGTGGGCCCCACCGGCACTGGTGGGCTGTCCACACCATGACGCCCACAAACCCTCGCTCCTCCCCCGCCAGGCCGCCAACACCCCCCCTCCCCCGTCACCTGGGAATCTAAGAAATCGCTTGGAGGCAGCAACCTCGTGCTCGTTCACAACGAGGAGACGAGGCCAGAGAGGAAGGACGTGTTCACACACAGCAACACGCAAGCGCTTCTGGCAATGACCCTGCCTGAGATGAAGAAAGAGCGGAGGACAGCGGCCGGGGTTCAGTGTGAACCCCACTGAGGAGTGAGGAGGAGCTGACGATGAGGGAGCAGTGGGATGGCCGGACCCGTCTGGCTCGTCTGTGATTCTCCGTAGCCCTCCGGAGAGCAGCCAGCGGGAGATCCGCAAATACCTGCCGAGCCGTGGGCCGGAAGGCATCATCCTCAGCAGCTTCCAAGCTCGGAGAGCCCCAGCGACCCCCCCAGACCATGAGCTCCTCAGGGCAGGGGATGGGGCCGCACGCCTGGGTGCCCAGCATCTAAGACGGCGCTGGGCACATTTCCATGTTGCAGATGTTGAATGAATGAATGAATGAATGATCCTTCTACTAATTCCTGGACAGCTCTAGTGGCTGAGAACAACTGACCTTTCAAAGCCAAAGTTTTATAAAACAACGTTTAATCATAAACAATGCGCCATAACAAACACAAACGCTAATGGAAATCAGATGCCAGCCACAGCAGAGAGTCGCGTGTGGCGTTTTAAATACTTTCATAACCACATTGAAATTAAATAAAAAGAAACAAATTACATTCGTTTCAATAATAATTTTGTATAATCCGACATACCTAAGAGTGCCACCCCGCATGGAATCGATGCAATTGCAATTGTAAATAATTCTAAATTTTATATCAGATCTTCAAAATCCAACGTGTATTTTAAAGTTACAGTCGCCTTCAGTTTAGACTAAACCAGGGCTCCATAGTACACGCTCCCCGTCCTATCAGTTCAGCCCGAGACTAGACTGCGTGGGTCCTCGGGAACCTAACCACGGCCCCCAAACACTCCACACAGCTGTCCCACGGGGCCTGGCTCCCCTCTGGACAAGCCCAGGACATAGGCCCAGCTCCGGGGAAAAGAAAGCGCCGACTGCTGGTCCCAGCGAGGCCCACAGTGAACATGCGTTTGATAAGAATTCGTGGGCAGAACAAAGCGATCGCCCCCCACGAGAGAGAACCCCGTGCCTTCGCGGGACAGAGCCGGACACCGATGAAACACGGCTCTCCTGGTGTGGGGCACGTTTCCATGCTGTAGGCGTGAATGAATGAATGAATGAATGATCAGACTTAGCAGAAGGCTACACCCTGCTCGCTCTGCTCATCCAAGAAACAGAGATAAATGAAACTCACTTCAGAGTCAGGGCTTGAAAGGTGCCGTGAAGTCAGCAGCGTAGAATCACCTCCAACCAGCAACACAGGCAGCGGGAGCACAGACCCCGGGCTGCTGACTCGACAGCCTAAGAGCTCCATCCCTGTCACAGAAAGGCTTTCTTTGCATCAACACTACAATGCCGCTCGCTCCTGTACACGACTGCAGCCTCGTTCCCCACCACCACTGCCCACGGGAACGGCTCTTGGGAACCGACCATAGAGAGGACCAAGAACGCTGGCCCTGGCCCTTCTATAGATGGCTTGGTGACACTGATCTGGGGCCTTAAAAATGTGAATGAAAGCCTGGCCTGTGTGGCTCAGCGGTTGAGCCTCAACCTATGAACCAGGAGGTCACAGTTCCATTCCTGGTCAGGGCACAGGCCCGGGTTTCGGACTCCATCCTCAGTGTGGGGCGTGCAGGTGGCAGCCGATTGATGATTCTCTCTCATCACTGATGTTTCTATCTTTCCCTCTCGCTACCTCTTAGAAATCAATAAAAATATATTTTAAAAAATAAGAATGAAAGAAGCAGTCTGAGCCCATTTTCGCAGCTCAAACCACTGAAGCTAAACACAGAGCAGATGTTAACTCGCCTCCTTACATGGAGTCAGTGGCTCCCGAGACCCAGCCGCTGTGTCTGCTACCAGGTCCCCGGTCGTGTGCTTCTCAGCCACTGTGACAGGGAACGTCTGACAGTCTGCCTCCCACGGTGGCCCAGCTCCGCCCGGAGCCCCGCCGCCGAGAACGGGCTCCGCGGTGGGGACCAGATCAGCCGTGTTTCCATGTATTTCCCACTCTTCAAAACGCATGTCGATTTCCCCCGTCACAGCAAGCATCAAAGGCGAGGGTTAGCAAAGACCCATGGGGGTTGGGGGGAACGTGACCCCCCCAAAGATCAACAGGGAGGAGCAGAGAGGCAGCCAGCCATCGCTGCGAGAAGTGGAGAAGGAAAGGAAAGCCAGGAGAGAGCGTAAAGTAAGTGTCGCTCCCACATGTTTGAGACTCAAGAGAAAAACGTGGTGAGAACTTTCCCTTTGAGGCACAGAGTTAACTGCCTAATGAACTGCAACAGAAAGCACAGGATCATGTGCAAGCTAACAAACATCTGTTCCAACATTTGAGGTAAAGAGATATTTTAGCCCTGGCTGGTGTGGCTCCATGGATAGAGCGTCAGCCTGCGACTGAAGGGTCCCAGTTTCAATTCCAGTCAAGGGCACATGCCCAGGTTTCAGGCTCGATCCCCAGCGTGGGGTGTGCGAGGCAGCCAATCAATGATTCTCCCTCATCATTGGTGTTTCTAGCTCTCCCTCTCCCTTCCTCTCTGAAGTCAATAAAAATATATTTTTTAAAAAGTTACACACACACACACACACACACACACACACACACACACACACACATAGATGTATTTAATAATGGCAGCTCACATCTCCCAGCGCCTGTCTGCTTCGCTTTAGAAGGAAGGAGGAGGCAGCCAGTGCCAAGTTCTGAGTGGCTGACCCTCGAGCCTTTGTGGGACCTGCAAGTTCTGACTCGCCCAGGCGACCAGTCATCGCTCCGGCCACAGGAAGACTCGCTCAGCAACAGAGATGTCACCAGGGGTCATCCCAACCGCAACACACCCTCAAACGCAAACAGGCGGGTGCGTTTCATGCCAAACGCCACTGCAGCAGGGCCGCACGGGAGGCCTGTGAAAGGCTTTCTCCCCCAGAGAAAAGCTGCATTGTTCTCCGTCACTATGAGATAAGCCACCCGTTTCCATGCTCCAGGGGGTCGGGAGCACAAATACAGCTCCCGCTGCGATGCCAGCGTGTTGTTCTGACCACCAGGTGGGTGTGCTCCACGCGTGCGGGTCAGGAAAGGTGCCCTGGGTGCTTCAGAGCGATGGTCACAGAGATGGGGGGGGTGGGGGAGGGAGGTTCCGGATGAATGTTTATTAGAAAGGCACATTCAGGATCTTAAAATGAGGAACGTGCTTTGTAAATCCCCAAGACAGAGCTCTAAGCTTCTCTGACCGCTGACTTTTCCATTATTATCCTCTTCCCTCGGTAGACGCAGAGCGCGTAGCCCTCAGCCCCGGCCGCACATCAACATCTGTCGGGAGTTTCCAGAAAGCCCGACACCCAGACCTCACCCCAGACCAATCCTACGCGTTCCTGGGGACAGAACGCAGGCAGCCGCCCTGCTTAACGATTCCCAGACCTGAAACCAAGGGCGGGAACCAACAGCACCTTGGGAAACATCGACCTATTAATTCTCACATCTTCTCCAAAGAGACTACAACAGCCACACAAAATGCACTCCGGGGCCAACCCGGGGGAGCGTCTCCCACCACCACCCTCAGCCCCGAAATAAACCGGCCCCTAAACTCACAGCTGGTGACAACACCCAACACCCAGCAGCCCAGCCCCGCCTCCGCTCACTGGCCCGCCATCACCTTTCCTGCTGTGCTTTCTGTCTTTGTCTTCAAAACTGGGCTCGGGGCTGTTCCTGCCCGTGGGGTTCATTCCCTGCGGGATTTCCCCTCGAGGGAAAACGGGGTTTGGCAGATTCATGGACCTCCCCCCTCCCACAGCCAAGGCATGTGTCCAGCTGATGCCATGGGCCCGGGAGCCGAGACGTGTGAAACGCATGGGAAGCACACGGGCTCAGAGCTGAGCAAGGAGACCTCGCCGACGTCTCCATGAGACATCAGGGTTCCCCCAGACACTGTGTGTGAGCACCCGCAGAGGCAGGTTTGCAAACGCTGCTGCTGGCAGCCAGGAAAGCACAGCGTCGGCCGGGGTCTCGGACAAGCTGCAAGGAGCATGGCTTTGGGGTGACTGGCCAAGAACACAGACTGGAGAGGGGTGTGCACGGGAGGGAAAAAACCTTAAAAGGATCCCTGCCCGGCTTCCAACCCAACTCTGCTGACTCGGGGCCGGGACCCAAAGGTGCCTGCTCCCCTGAAGGTCACCCGCAAAGTCAACACTACGATGGATGGACTCCAGGAACTACTGCAGGTGGCAGGGCCCCTTTCCTCTTGTCTTCAGCTACAGTCGCTCTTGACAAATACACCGGCTAGCCTCGGGGCAAGCGGAAAGTACAGCTTTGACACAACAGCTTTATAAGGAGTGGAACACGCTGATCCTGCCATCAGACACTCCTGGGGTCCCCCCAGCCAGGAATGAAACGTCCTCCGGTCCACACGCACCTAACGAATCAAGGTAGATGGTGAAGCCAAGCAGCATGAGGGAGGCAGCGCTCTACGCACTGATACCCACACACTTCCAAGATGAAGAAATCAAGGGGCAGAATAGTAATGCGTGTGCCACATGCGGGGGTAGAAACGGGAAAATAAGAACGTGTATCTGGCCCGGCTGGCGTGGCTCAGTGGCTGAGCGTCAACCTATGAACCAGGAGGTCACAGTTTGATTCCCCATCAGGGCACATGCCCGGGTTGAGGGCTCAATCCCCAATAAGGGGGGTGCAGGAGGCAGCTGATCCATGATTCTCTCTCATCATTGATGCTTTTATCTCTCTCTCTCCCTCTCCCATCCTGTCTGAAATCAATAAAGTTATATTTAAAAAATTAATAAGTAAGCATAAAAAGATCTTCTTCAGTGACACTAACTGTTGTCTCCCAACACTGGAAGGAAGAGACCGCCGTCCCGGGTGAGAGCCAGATGTGCGGGCCGCACCGTGAGTCGGGCCGCTGAGCGTCCGCTTCGGGAGGATGCTGAGAGGGTCTGATGCTACCTGCCCAGCCCCCGGCACGGGGTCGGCGCGCAACCATCGCCCGTGAAATGAAAGAATGAATGGGTGCGTCAATGAGCTCGAGTACTGAGCGCTAATGAGTCTTGATACGGTTGTCAGCGCCTAAGTCGGGCACTCCTTGCCCTTAAACGGTCAGGATATAGAAAGGGTCCCAGGGAAAATTAATTCCTGAAAGGAGAAAGCTGTTTTACCTTACCAGATGGGGGGGGGGGGGGCAAAAAGGAATAGTAAAAACCACCGTCTCGTTTCACTCCCTATAACATCATGGTCACAGTCATGAGACAATCAAAAACAGTAACCCGGCCGGACAGTAGCGAGCCGTCCAGCGAGGCACTACGTCACTCGCACGCCGCGCGGTACCTGAACGGAAGGTAGGGGGGGTTGGAGCCGGACAGGAGCGCTCTGTAGGCTTCTTCCGGAGTCTTCTTCAAATAGATGACCTGCAGCAGACAAACGGCAGCGTTTAGGTCACACCCGAGAGCGGCACGAGGCGAGCTGACTCCCCACGGGTGCATCCCCCTCCTCCTCTCTGAGGGCGAGAGTCCTGGTGGGCACGGGGGTCTTTGCACAGCAACGGGGCTGCCCCAGTGTCCTGTCCGCCCTGGCCTAAGGGTGGGTGAGAGCCTGGAGACTGAGGCAGACCCAGAGGCCGGCCAGGCTGTGCTCAAGGCACACCAACAGCCGCCGGCACGGCTCCGTGGTGAGCGCTGACCTAGGAACCAGGAGGATGGATTCCCGGTCAGGGCACAGGCCTGGGTGGCGGGCTCCATCCCCAGTGCGGGGCGTGCAGGAGGCAGCCGGTCCATGATTCTCTCTCATCATTGATGTTTCTATCTCTCCCTCTCCCTTCCTCTCTGAAATCAATAAAAATAGATATTAAAACACACACACACACACACACACAGATGTCACGGGGGGGGTCCCCTCTGGGAGCAGAACAAGTGTGGGTCCCTGACGGTCCTATGTGCTCACCGCAGACCACCGTGGGCCCCTGTCCTCCCGCCTCGAGGTGATTCCGTGCTGGATTACACCATCAAAGCGCACAGCCTCCTCAGCAGAGCAGATCCACCTCCCCCAGGAGCAAGAGGCGGCCTCCCACGGGAGGGAGGCGGCCGCCGTGAACCGCTCTCCAGTGCCCCGCCCGCTCCTCTTATCTGCATGGCTGAGCACGCATGACCCTTGCTCCCGGGGGAAAGAGAGCCTTTGTTTTTATTTTTATCCCGGGCCTCAATTATTCATAAGTGCAAAGTGAAACCCCGCGAGGCCGTCGCAGTTCCAGGAAGGCTGCGGGGCAGGTGAGGGCAATGGCCTCCCACAACCGCTGAGGGGAGAGGCGGGGGCTGCTCCAATGCGCGAGGCGTTGCTGAGTGCGCTCGCGGGGTCGTTAAAACCCCAGGTGCCACGTTTCCAGGGGAAAATGTGTCCTGGATTCTCAGGCCACATCTTCTTAGCTCTGCCTCCCATTAAAGAGAGAGCCAGCCCTGGCCAGTGCTCAGCTGGTTCAGCTTCGGCCCAAAGGTTGCAGGTTCGGTTCCCGGTCAGCACTCATCCCGGGGCTGTGGGCTCAATCCCCGAGGGGCACGTGTGGGAGGCGGCCGATCAATGTTTCTCGCTTACCTCTCTCTCCTTCTCTCTCGCTCCTTCTCTCTCTCTCTCTCTCTCTCTCTCTCTCTCTCTCTCTCTCTCTCTCTCCGCCCCCTCCATCCCTTCTTCCATCTCTAAAAATAAATATTTTAAAAGGACATATATCCTCAGTGAGGTTTAAAAAAATGAAATAATTCTTTAAAAAATATAAGCTCTCGAGGTGGCAGGCACTACTCTAGGAAAGTGGCTGATTTGCTCCTTGGCCCTCGTGACGCCCGAGGCAGGAAGGAGGTGAGCTTTGGTCCCCGAATACCTTTTCCTCCTTTTCTCCCCGTGTCCACGGGACTGGGACCCACGGCGGTCAGGGTGTCTGACGCCCCAGCCCTGAAGACTGGCTGTGCATACAAACCCCAACACGTGAGGGTGAACATCCCCACGACAGCCGCAGACCCACCACCACGCGGGCCAGCGCTGAGCGCAGCCTCCTCGGGTTAAAGTGCAGACGGGGCCTCAGCACCAGCACCCCCAAACCAAGGCGCTGGCCGTGTTACCACACCCGTTGTCGAAGCCCAGCAGGTGCCAGGAGGCCCACGTCCCTGCCCAGCAGAGTCACGTGTAGCCAGAGGGAGCGGATGCCGTGCCCGTTTCCCTACGCCAGTGATGGCGGACCCTTTGAGCTCGGCGTGTCAGCGTTTTGAAAAACCCTAACTTAACTCTGGTGCCGTGTCACATATAGAAATTTTTTGATCTTTGCAACCATAGTAAAACAAAGACTTATATTTTTGATATTTATTTTATATATTTAAATGCCATTTAACAAAGAAAAATCAACCAAAAAAGTGAGTTCGCGTGTCACCTCTGACACGCGTGTCCTAGGTTCGCCATCACTGCCCTACGCGAACGTCTCCTGAACAGAGCAAGGCGTGCAGGCTGGGTGCTCGTGGAGGAGAAATTAATGACCCGCCGCCCGCAAAGGGGCCACAGGAGCCCAGGGAGTGAACATCTAGAAGAGACGCCATGGTCTCCCCGCTTTGCTCTCTCCCGCCTCCCTGACCTGTCACCAGGGGAGGCCGTGAGCCCCCTTCCGTCCCCTCCTTTGACGGCAATGAACACAAGATGAAAAACCGCCGTTCTCCGGAGCATCCCCCCAATATGCTGAGACTCTGCTTCCAGCAACTGTCAACAGCTTGGCTCAAATAAACTCACAGGCATTCTTTACAGGTTTAAAAAACAAACAAAACAAAACCCACTATGAGGTGAGAAATCCGGCAAAGACTTAAGACGTAAAACTTTCGTTTTCAAGTCTCGTCCTGGGCTCCCAAGCCGGCGCTTCTCAGACTTCTTACTTAGCATCACATCCTCACGGTCGTACGCAAGCACCACAACATGTTCAATTTTCTTATTTTTAGCCACATTTTTCTTCTTAATCATTTCCTCCCATTATAACCCCTGACTGGGAAAACAATGTCTGTATTCAATTAAAAAAAAATAGGAAAAAGGCGACCATTTTTCAAATGCGCGACTGATGCTACTTCTGTTCTAAGGGACTCACTCAGTGGTCAACAGTCCCCTGCAAACTCCATAGGGAAGTCTGACTGCACATCAGAAATGCGGCTGGGTGTTTAGAGCAGCCTGCATTCGACCAGCCTGCTTTCCCGACGGTGCTAAAGGGTCCGTCGGTGAAAGCCGGACAAGAATGAGTCCCCGTCGCCAACAGTCTAACACATGTCCGGGAAGGCGAGTCATCCTTCCTGCTCTCCAGGCTCGCGTCTATTGTACATCACGGCACTCGGGGCCTGGGAAATGGGTCCCGGGGGTCGAGTAGATGGTGACGGAAGAAGACGACCCTGGGCGGTGGGCGCACAAGGCAACGAGCAGAGGATGTAGCACAGAAACGCAGGCTGGAAACCTATACGCCTTGTTAGCTGAGTCACCCCAATAAACTTAATTTTAAAACAAGAAAAAGCACGAGGAGACCAGTGAGCGTGTGGATGATACCTCTCACGGGAACCCTGAATTACTTCCCGTGCTTGGTGGATCCTTTCTGACATAGCAGGCACCTTCCAAAGGCACTGCTTCCCCCAATATCTGGCATTGTGCTCGGACCGACTCCAAAGCGGAGGCGTGGCGGGCAGGGTGGCCGTCAAAGGAGAAAGATCTTGATGTCAACAGAGAAATAATGGGGAAGAACAGTGAGGGAGACAAGTCAAAAGACTCTCTGGCCCAGCCGGCGTGGGTCAGGGGTTGGGCATCAACCCATGAACCAGGAGGGCACGGTTCCATTCCCGGTCAGGACACAGGCCCAGGCTGTGGGCTCCATCCCAGTGTGGGGCGTGCAGGAGGCAGCCGACCCATGATTCTCTCTCACCATGGATGTTCCTATTCCTCTCTCTGAAAAGTCAATAAAAACATTAAAAAGTAAATAAAGAGACAGTCTGCGTTACACAGGGGGAAGGCCTCCTAGCTGGCCGGGGTGGAACCCGGCGGGGTGGGGGCAGGGAGGCCGAGGGTGGCTGGGCTCCCGTGGATCAGGACCACTTGCAGAGGCTGAGCGTCTCCCAGGAGGGGGGGCGGGGACCGGACAACCCACGTATTCATTTAGTAACTGGAGCATGTTCCCAAGGGACCAAAAAAAGCCAGCGTGTTCCTTTCAAACTGAAGACGTCTGTAGGTGAGATGTTATCCACACGCCTAAGACAGAGGCCAGAGAGCATGGGAACCAATCTCCCGTCTGGACTCGCACAGTGACGGAGGCTCCTGTCCTTTGAGTCGACTCAAGAATAGGAAACCAACAATGAACCCCCAACAAGGAACTGGCTGTTCCCTCCGCGTGTTTACAGAGCCGTTGCCTGGC